TGAAAATATTTTAGATCGATAGAACAGGTAAGGAAATGTGAGAGGTGAAATTTTCAGAAAAATCATGCTTTGCGTTTTCCAGAAACGTCTAACCTACCATCGACCGTGAGTCACGCTGTACATACATACATATAAACAGCCATACATGGATGTTTATAAAAGGATTTTCCACACTGAGCCATTCTAACTCTCTTAATTTTTGAGATAGGTGGTCATACCGACGTAATCCGTAAGTGAATCGTACGCAAGAATTCTGAACCTTTTGAATCTTATATTTAAATTCATTGTCAAGACAAGAACCATACAAAAAAATCACAATGGGTAAACTGTGAGAGAACAAGGGTTTCACTAAGAGTCTTGCACAAATTTACATGGCTGTAAAGAGTTTTCAGAGAAGTGAAAGTTTTTTTAAGAATGCTATTTACATGAGATTTGGTACTGGGATTTTTGCGCCGCTTCCGATAGGCGAGATTTTTGGAGGCGACAGCTTGCTCTTTAGTATTGCTGAACCAAGGTTTGCCGTTTCATTGAAATAGGAACATATGCATCCGTGGATCATAGAATACCTTCCGTGACTTCAGAAGAACAAGTTGATGGATCTTTAGAGTTGAAACAAACATCTAGCCAGGGGAAATTTCGGAAATAGTCTTGAAGATCCTTCTTGAAAATCATTCAGCTGATCTGTAATGGCAAACTTTGCGCGGCTTAGATTGTTCCCCAACATTTATCGGTAATTCACTCAACACTGAAATGAGTTTGTGGTCAGAAGATCTCAATGGAGACCTTACGATGACTGTGTAAATTTCTGGATTGGTTGTTAGGCATAGATCCAGAAGACTAGCATATTCTCCATCACGGCAAGAATCTTGGTGGCTCATTTATAATCTGTGTAAGTCCGCTGCTTATTGCAAAAGCCTCAGCTTCGCGACCTTGTTCGTCGTTGATATTTGAAAATTTGAGCCATTCGATATTGTGCACACTGAAGTCACCGAATATGAAAATTTCGGCTCTGAGATGATTGATTTGCAGAATGTCAAAGGTGTTTGCAAGTGAATAGAATACCTAGTGTCTGTACCAAAAACCAAATATCTGCTTTCAAAAATGACTAAAGCAAAATGAGCGTCTTCATCTTAAGTGCATCATACTGTAGTAATGAGTTGAGAAACTGCAAACAATTAAAATCTGGAAAAATTGAACTGCATCAATGTATACAGTGGAAATTCTCTATCAATAAGGATATATGCACGAAACAGTAAAATAAATATTTATCGACATACGGAGATACAAAAACACATGACATTGTAACTTTTCAAACTGCCTAATACTTTCGTGAATGCTACAGTGTTCTAATTATAATACTTATACGAGTATATATAAACTCTGGAGTTCTGGGATGTGGGTATGAACTTGACCAATTTTTATTTCACCGCAAACACACACTGGAAGTCCCAGTTTGCTTTTGGGGTCGACACTTGTAAATATACCGAAAACTGTGTTTAATGAGTATTCGCATTTGAAACTTGTTTTTTTACTCGATTTTAATAAGTCTAGACATTCCCCTTTTATTTATCATCAACGAATTCCCATCGCAAAACATCAATCTGTTCCGCCACCTCAGATTTCCTTGCAAGTTTGTTGCCAATAAGGTTTTCAACTTCCTGTGGAATAAGACATATCGATTTCATCTTTCCTCCTTCGAAATATTCTTGAATAGCGACTTTGTGAGTCAACAACTAGGTTGGCCATATTGGAAAACAAACGAACATTGTTCTCTGTCGAAGGTCGTGAACTATAATGAATGTTTTATTACGTTACAGTGTAGCCCGTATCCGATTATTTTGATACGGGCGCGATGTTTTTTCACACCTGCGAAGTAAGCCGTGAAAAAAAGTAATTGATTGTTTTCTGTCTATTTAGTGCAGGAATATTAACCTTTATGACTCTCTGGCTGAGTACACTTCTATAGTTCGTTCAATATTGTCCGAGAGTAAAATAATTTCAAGAATGCAAACATGTCGCTACATAAAAGAAAGCAACAGTCGTCTCAAGCAAATAACACTGCAACTCACCCACAAAATCATTGAGATATGTCTACCCTCTATATCCCTTGAGGACGCCGCTAACGAGCCATTAAAATAGGGATATGCGACAAAGAACGCGAAAACACCGACAAAGAATGCGAAAGTACCGCCAAAAGAACTTTCTACAGATCTATAAAATAATCAGAATATTAAATATACAAACAAATGCAAATGTAGAAAGAGCAAAAAGTTACTGCATTTGATAAATTAGCTTTTCGGAAAAAAAATCAAATTTGTCATCTGGTGACGTTTTAAATACTCTATCCATTTTCTTTATCCAACCTATTTAAATCAAAACATTATAATTTGTATATACATTCATAACAATTGTTTTTTCATTTATATTTAATGGTGACAAATTCAGACGGTTCACGATTCCCGAACAACTAGCTTCCATGTTGTATAGCTGTTTATTCAACGCGCTCTCGAAGTAAACTGAAGAATATCACGAATAACCCCGCTAAAAAGCCAAGTCGGTCTTAAGGATAGGTGCAATGTGTCTGTTGACAGACACATTGCACCATTATATAGTAATGAATCATTTTTAAGTTGTTCCATACGCGTACATAAGTGAGTCGGTTGAGAAGTGAAAAATGTTATATAGGAATGTAGGCTTTATCGGCTGGCGTCAATCTCTTGACTGGCTTCTGGATTTTGCCATGTTATTTTAAGAGATTAGACGGTTATCAATAACTGAGGCTACAAGTTTATGACTACTGACTAGTAATGGCCCGGAGGGAAACAAGAATTATCAATTTTCTCATTATTCTCGAATACTCTGAAGATAATACCGTATGTTTAACGACATCATATCACATATCAACGACATATCATAAGCTGAAAAGATGCAAAACACTTAAAATTTGTAAAAAAAAATCAACTTTGTCGATCCCGTAATATTTTCTTTTTTCAATGAATATTTTCGTGCTGTCAGCTTTTTTTTTTCAAATTTTATTTCGCATTGTGTCCTTTGGACCTGAGTATGTGTATTTTTCAAAGTCCAGCAACATTAAATCACGATTGTTCTGCGTTCACGTGTTGTATATCGATTTTGGTTTTTCTGAGAATTTGTTCACAACAAAATAATGATTAATCGCAATCTATGTCTCATCCTCGTTCTCATCAAAGATTAGCAGAATTCGGTAGATAAGTGTAACTTGTCAAACTATTAATATTGGTACTTATCTGATAATATATTAACAACCTAAAGGGGCCAGTATGTAAAATACTGGATATATGCTTTGATTTTTCGGGTCACCAGGTTTTGAACAAACTATTCATTCATTATAATTTCAATAACTAATAATTTTAGGTTATATGTACAAAAAGCTGGTAGCAACTTCCCCATTTTAAGGCTATCTAAGCGGGCTTAACCTCAGGCTCAATAATAATAATAGTAGACGTCGGTATTGACGTACTAAAAATAAATATAATTACATATGCTTCAAGAATAATCTAAAAAAATGTATTGACGTACTAAAAATAAATATAATTACATACGCTTCAAGAATAATCTAAAAAAGCTACGTCAATAGATTTACCGAGTTGAACTCATATGTGAAGCAAGTACTTGTACTTACACTTGAGAAATCAGGAGAAATCGTAATCCACCTACATGAATATTTAGTTGAGTTCAGATCTGAGCGATTTATTTGTTGTTAAACTATGTATGACTGGTGTTTATGTTATCAATTGAATAATATGGTCTAAGTTGTCTCTGAGTACTTAAAGTTGTTATAAAATCTGTGAATTCAGTTTATTCAAACCGACCAATGGGGTATTTGAATGCAGGGAATTTATGTGAATATTCGTTTTTCAGATAAGCAAAGTTTTCCCAAATGTTTAGAGTAGACTTCGGTCTAGACTATATTTTTGCCTGCTTATCATGATTCTGCAGGTCTACTTTCGGAGATTACGGCCAATCAAAAGTCTAAAAACTCTGAAATGACAGCTTCACTTCAAAATTTTATATGGCAGACTTTACTTTCCTTATACACCATCTGAAAGTAGATGATTCAACAGAAAAATACCTCTGTTCATTTCGAAAGAAACTGTTTTCAATGCATGGATAATTTAGGTTGATGATGAAGTGTTTTTTAGATTAAACATCAAAATGAAATGTTGAACTGAATATTTTGATTTGAAAAACAGAAAGGTGAGGAAATTTCCACGAATTATCGTGAAAAACAATTGACTGAAAAAAATCGGTTTTTCCGATTTTCCTCGGGAAGTTTAAGGTTATGTGGTAAAATGGTTGATATAAAAGTTGTAGATCTTTACAGCACCTATAACTTTTCTAGGCAGCAAGTCTTGTTTCAATGGAAACGTCAAAAAACCATTCCCCCTCGTAAAACCCATTTTATCCCCCGTACCTTATAAGCACAATATTTCATTCTCCTTCTAAAGGTCTGTACGTTATTATTTTGCCTTTCGAACAGGCTCTGTATTGGTCTAATCTGAATGCAGATGAAGCACGATTTATTATTACAGGAAATGGAAAAATACACACTCTTAAGTCCAAAGTTCTAGTCAAGAGTGTACACCAGAGTTTATTGCCGTCTGGTAACGTTTTGCCTCGAATTTCCAGCCAATACTTCAAACACAAAGTCATTATTGTTTGTAAACATAATTAGCCGATCAACTGGTCAACATTCTACAAGATGTTCCCAGAGAAGGGTGTGCCTAGAATGCATCTCAAGTGTCTAGCAATACGATCTCTCGGCAAGGCCTTTAGAAATTGGCACGGAATTTTAGAAACTCCAATCGAGCCATACTGCCTATTCTAATGATTTATTTGCACTTACTTTCTACTCCGACACGAAGGCAAATCGAAGTTATCCGTGTATTTTATTGGCCTCGTAAAAAATTGAACATGCACGAATCACAGTAGTAAACGTTCGAATTTTCCAACACTCAGATGCACTTTGGGGACGCACAGGTACTGTTCACGGAAATCGTTTTATTTACTCGAAATGTAAACAATACACAAACTAACGGCAAAAATGAACTGACAAGACTTGAGATGTACACAACTGGGGCGCCACCGCCATTGCTGACTGAATGCGTTACGTAGTACAGCGAAGAAGTGGGGAGTGGAGAATGTGACGGATGCGTAGTTGCCGATGTGAAATTTTTTATCCCCATATCAATGACTAACCTACTATTTTCATGAAAGAATATTTAGATCAGGAAACCGAATGTATCTCTAAACATTAATTATCAAATTAGGTATAGGCCAGTAAGGTGCAACAAAAAAAGATGACTAAAACACGGAAAAAATATAAACAGATTTTCTTGTAAGACACGTCAAGGATTTTCTACCCTAGGACTAACTTCAAACAATCGATTCCTGCAAACAGAATTAAAAATGTCTTAATACACGCCGACGTCCTGGGTTCGATTCTCATATCGATAACGTTTTTTAATTAGGACCACGTGACTGGTTCGCGACATGAGTGCCCGAGGTGTGAGGCGGAGTCCCAAGGGGGTCCACGCGCTTTGATACTCATTCCATCCTTCTCTGCATCAACTGCGTCACACTCTCCGAAACACACGTACTTTGAGTTGTGTGTTCCACAAGGTTCCGATCGGATGTCATGAAAATTGCAAAAAGTTTAGCTCCATAAGAAAATGCATGGGATTTTAGTTTGTACCGGCCTTGTTCATTTACTGATTTGAATTTCCCGCAGTACGCGCGGTAGCTTCTATTGGTTGACTGAATGGCGGCAAAAGTGGAGGAGAAGGCTCTGAAAGTCTAAGGCCCAATTCACACAGAATGGACGTCTGTCAGAGACGAGACGCGGACCTTTTTTCCTTCCGGGTGGACTGGGCCTTGGATCTACTGCACGAGTAATTTTTAAATTATGGATAAATCCGTCATCTGAGACTATACTTGTTGAAATGATTTGGAAATAAAAAAAAATGTCTAGAATCTATTATATTTATATCAGAGAGGTACATGATGTTTGTGAATGTAAAAAACCATGACAGTTAGATAATTTTGCTTTGCGCAAAGACTTTTGTCGAGGAAGAGGGCATATGACGTGTTATTATTTCATATTTGCCCGAGGGGTGAGACGGAGTCCCAAGAGGGTCCACGCTCTTTGATACTCATTCCATCCTTCTCTGCTTCAATTACGTCACACTCTCCGAAACACACGTACCTCGAGTTGTGTTTTCCACAAGGTTCCGATCGGATGTCATGAAAATTGCAAAAAGTTTAGCTCCATAAGAAAATGCATGGGATTTTATATCGTACCGGCCTTGTTCATTTACTGATTTGAATTTCCCTCAATACGCGCGGTAGCTTCTGATTGGTTGACTGAATGACGACAAAAGTGGAGGAGAAGGCTCTGAAAGTCTAAAGCCCAATTCACACGGAATGGACGTCTGTCAGAGACGAGACGCGGACCTTTTTTCCTTCCGGGTGGACTGGGCCTTGGATCTACTGCACGAGTATTTTTTAAATTATGGATAAATCCGTCATCTGAAACTATACTTGTTGAAATGGTTTGGAAATAAAAAAAATGTCTAGAATCTATTATATTTATATCAGAGAGGTACATGATTTTTGTGAATGTAAAAAACCATGACAGTTAGATAATTTTGCTTTGCGCAAAGACTTTTGTCGAGGAAGAGGGCATATGGCGTGTTATTATTTCATATTTGAAACCAATTATTATTATCGTACCTAAGCCTTCGGTGTGTTCTAAATTACTCATAAGAGGATGATGCAGACGCTATGCATGTATCGAAACATTTTCATTTACCTTCCATGCAAGCCGTTACAGATAGATGACAATCAATTTCAAGGAAATATTTCTAATTTGTATCAATAACTAGTTCAGATGTTCCAAAGTTCTAATTCTCGACGTCTAATTCACTTCAATTTTTCCCCACATGTGAATACAGGATAAATACAGTGAATGGATCGTTTTCTTTTTTCGTGAAGATTGTCAATCTAATATAATGTTAAAAAGGCATAGATCCGACTGAAAACATTTGTTGAACACTTTATTTTGTTATTCAGTGCTTGTACAAGTTAAAATCTAATAAAAACACTGTTTCCACCCACTACAACCAGATACCTTTTCTTGACACAAGTTTACCTAATCAAATTAGCATCATCAGGAGATGACTAACCTAACCTAACCACATTAGCATCATCAGGAGATGACTAAAACCTTATCCTCAAAGTGTTATTTTCAAACTCCATGAAAAATGAACTATCTTCAAATTGGTACATATTCGTTAGGTCTAAGAAACCAGTATTACAATTATTTTTACATTATGATAGAAAATTGTTTCCAATCAGCAGATTCAATCGGTTTTTTCGTGAAATTTGAAACGCTATACCCAGTTGTTCTGTTTTTTATCTTTGATGAGCTGTAGGTACCTTATCATTTCATATAAACTTTCCTTTGCATCATTACGAAGTGTAATTATTCATGAAGTGGTTTTTCAGTAGTATTTCCAACCTGTGGTTATCTACTGGCAACACTGTAATTCAACTCGACAGAACTGAATCGGCCAGTAAATTGTAAACGGCAAGGCAATCATAAATTCTCTTTGAGTAAAAAAAAAACATTCATCTGCAACGTTTGCTTTCTACGAATAAACATAAAGTCACATTACACATATTCATTTGAAGCGAATGAGTTTTTCATGCTTTCTGGGTTTTGAAAAAATGTTTACATTGTTATCCAACAATTTGGCATTTCTGTTGTAACTTGCGAAATTATCTACTGGGTGTTCCTAATCTAATCACCTTTGAAACCTTAGCAAAAATATAAATAAAACACTGCAAATATCGGGAAAATTATTTATAATAATTTTTAGGTTAAGTTACGTTAGATTAGGTAAAGCTATCAAAATTATCTACTGGGTATTCCCTAGCTAACCCTCTGTGAAAATATAGCGAAAATATGAACAAAATACTCTAATGTCCAGAAAATTATGTATATGTAGGTTATGTTAAATTAGGTTAGGCTAGGTTAGGTTAGGTTGGGTTAGATTAGGTTAGACTGTTTATAGACAGTTAGGTATATCCCTAACAGAAACATCACTATTCTTGTCAATATTACTCCTAAAGGATATCTTCTGTGTCAGTAATTTAGTGTTTAGGTTAAGTTAGGTCAGTTTAGGCAAAACTAGCAAAATTATGTACTGGGTGCTCCCAAGCTAACCCTCTTTTGAAACCTAGCGAAAATATAAACAAAACGCTTCAAATATCGAGTAGGTTAGGTTAGGTTAAAAAAAAGTGTCAAAATTATTTTCTGGGTGCTCTTAAGCTAAACCAACGAAAATATGGACAAAACATTTCAAATGACGAGAATTATGAGTATTAATATGTAGGTTAGGTTAGGTTTGGTTAGGTTAGGTTAGGTTAGATCTGAGAAATTTTGAACTATTTTGAACATATTCAGATTATCTGCAACTCTGCAACATGGGAAATTAATGGTGGGTAAACACAAATAACCACATGATTGACAAGGAAATTAAACAAGGGCCCATGTAAGATCCCTGAGGCATTTCTGACAGTGGTGTCTTGTTGAAGATTGTCATATTTAACGTATTGTAAAGGTAGCACCAGAATGATTACATTACCCTTAACAATCGGTAAGTTCTGATTGACTCAAACAGACAAATGAAGCAGTTTTCATAAGTAGCACAAGTTTCGACTTCTGAGGGAAGCCGTTCGTAGGGGTGCGACAGCTGGTTAACGGAAAAACAGATTTTCTTTTAAAACAGTAATTTAGTAGCAGTACATCTTTTGTTGGTGAAGCCATGTTGAATAATACATTAATGAAATGAATACGCCTTTAGTGGAATGTCTCACGAATAATGGATATATAAAATGGGACAATGACCTATTTTTGGGGTCGTTATCTGTCAATAAAAACCTTAATAGAGAGAGATCACAATATAGTCTACCTCTACGTCTGACGCGTGAATTCATAATAAACATCTGCAAACGAGTCACGTTATAAAAATAGGTCCTCCATTTTCTCGGTCTGGGCGTTTTTCAGAGGATTCACCGGCGCTCACTTCTCTCAATATCTCGAGTGTGCAAGTTTTTTACTGAAAGGAAATTGTTTTGACTCATTCAGAAATGTACGCAGTTTATTTTTAATCAACTGTCACACTTTCATCTCGTGAAATCGCGATGTTGGAACGAAGAGACTATTAGTTGAGATTCGAACTGATTTCGAACTGATTATGAAGTGTATGGAAAATTGAAATTGGGAAAAAGAGAACACTAAATTGTTCGAAAAAGGATCAATTGTCATTAACGTTAGATTTATATTACTATAGAGTATAGACAAATAGATAGTATTACAAATTTGTCTTAACATTGTCCTGGTAGAGGTAAAAAATTCGAAACAAGTGTAGAAGGCGTATTAAAAACCCCTTTTTGGGTTCGGTTTTCTATTTGAAGTAAAAATACAGTACAGCTTAGTGCCTGGCGTGGGATTAGCCATGGCAATATTTATCATTTCGTTTGATTTTATCGATATCTTTGGACCGCCGGCCCGAATTCTTGCGTTATACCCAAATTAGCGAACCCGACCTTGAGCTAACGAGCTTTTACTTCAGATTACATTTTAATATTATGAGTTAATGAATTCAAGGTCTATTCGACTGGGATCTGAATTTATCATTTTTGGTACATCTTATATATATAGCACATGATGCAATTCTTTTGTTCGATGTGTGAAGGGCTATGAAAACATTCAATGAAATATGTAAGTATGAATAAGCCGGTGAGTAGATAATTTCGATATATTCGCTGCAAATACACTTGACTTTCGATCAAAATAATTTTCTGATTTTGTTTCTCTCTCTCTCTCTCCGAGTGTATGAATGTACTTCCCACTGTTCCATAATATAATAGTCATGGGTTCTGTGTGCTGGTACCGCCATCTTAGTATGAACCGGTACGTCGTACACCCACCATTTCATAATACCTTTTTAATATGATAATTTATAACGACATAATTTTGTTATGATTACCACTAGAACAATGATAAGAAACAAGGCCTATTTGCAGTTGGGAGAGTCGGGGATATAA